ATTTCTCTAGTTAACTTTTGAACATACCTATAGAAGACAATTATAATAATAACTGTTTTCATGTCCTAGTTTGTTAATTCTAACATTTGTGTCAGGTCTGGGTCAGTTTCGACTGGTTGATTTATCGCTTCATTAGAGATGATATTTTTTTCCTTCCCATTCCATCTCTTTAACTCAGAGAGTCTGGATTCTTCCTCCCTGAGTTACAGCTTACAGCTCTCTCAAGGCAGAAAGCTGGACAATTTTATATTGGGTGGCCAGGGCAGGACACACTGTAAAGATGTCATTGGGGTAGTGTATGAAGGAAGCGAGAGGGAAATCCTTGAAGATACCCATAATATGAACCTTCTAGCCAGAGAAAGGAGAAGGCCCCCGAGGAGGAATAAGGAAAAAAAAAAAAAAGTAGTTAACTGTAATAGAGCTTAAATGTTGCACTAGTTGATTTTTTATGGGGCAGGGATATTCAAAATAATAATTGTACATGCCTTAAGATGACTTAAATTAGAGTTTGTTCTCAGCTAAGATGGAAGCAGTTCTTCAAAAGCATGGACCCAGGGAGCTGGATAGAGGCTAATACTCTGGAAAAAAGGCTGCTTGATACATTATTCGTTATAGCTCAATTGACATGTTGGATTATTTCAGTTAAGTTGATGCATAGGTTTTTTGCTTCCTGTGTGGAAAAAACATTCACTGAGATGGATTTTTACAGTGATTGCTTCCCTTATATAAAAGGAGGAATAAGCTTGCATCTTTCCTAATGCCCAAGTTTATATGTTAAATCCCAGGGAAGCAGCATTAACTTACAACCATCTGCTTGAGTATTATTGGTGTTAAGTCAAAATGACAAATAAAGAAGATAAAGGACAAATAAACGGATGAGAAAATCTTCCTTTGTCAAAATGTAGAGCCCAAGAGCTTTTAACTAAAAAGTTGTATTGAAGGATCAGAAAAATAGCACCATGATTAATAATCAGAAGAATTTAGAAGCAAGAAAGAAGGGATAAAAGACAACTCGAATTCCTACTCTTTCTTTTTTTCACAAGGGAACAGTCAACACCATCCAGGCTTGCTGTGTAGGACCTCCGCCATGTCATCCCAACTCCTTGCCTCTTGGCTTCAGTTCTAACACGGAATGCCCCCCTCTTCACTGGTTGATTCATTCAACAAATATTTACTGAGTGCCTACTGAGTGAGCTTCCGATGCTGTGCTTGGCCCTGGGGACACCGCTGGTGACCAAGAGACATAGTTCCTGTTGTCATGAATTTTTCTGTCAGGCAGAAGAGACACACATTAGAAAAGGAGCTTTATGAAGGAGAAGTTCAAGATTATTTGAGAATATGTAACAGGGAACACAGTTCAGTGGACCAGATTCTGGGAACTACTATTTTCCTGGTGGTGGTATTGAGATCCTTTTTGCTGAGAGCCTGAGATGTGCATGATGTACACTTCACAGGTTCTTGTCATGGGTTGGATACCAGAGGCCTCAGCAGCGGTTAGGTCCTGGATCTGATAAAAGACAGCTTGCCTTGGGTTTGACGCTTTTACCTACCTCAGTACCCTTATCCAGGCACATCCTCTCTCTTCCTTTGGCCCACCTCTAAAACAGGGATTTCCCACTGCACGAGTTTGAAGACATATGTAATTCCTATTCATGCTTATTGGATAAGCACTTATCTCAATAGTAACTAAATAAATTTTGTGTCGTGACCTTGCACCTCCATTAAAATGGAAACTCTATGAAGGAAGGAACGCATTTTGTCATTTTACTGTTATTCCCAGGACCCAGTAGATTTGCTGGCCCATGGTGGAAAAACTGATATTCTTTATTTTAAGAGATAAATAATATTACCCATATAGTCCTATGGACAATATTATATTGCATAGATGATGTTGTCCTCTTCCAAACCATTGGTGTCTTCCTTCTTGGAATTCCAGCATTTGAGCCTCTCTTTGGACACTTAACTCTGAATTTCTGTGGCCATTAGTTATCTTTTCATAACCTGGAACTTGGGTCTATGAATCTGCACTCAGAGATTTCATTTTGTGGCAAGGATGAATCTGTGCACAAGGCATGGTCTGGCATCAGTAGAGAATCCACATGCAAATTTAAAAAGTCAATGCTCTTTGTACTCTTTCTCCCCTCCCTCCATTTAAGCATCTTTTCATAACTTTTCTCATTTCAACATCTTTCTTTGGAAAGACATAATGATTTTTAAGTTTTAAAAAATAAATCACACACCTCCAGGAAAGACAAATTTGTGCTCCAAATCCAGGCTTTGAAAGAAAAGGTATCTGATCTCCAGAGGGAGGGTAAGTGAGTGATGGGAGATGAATTGGGGCATGATTTTATGGTGAGAAGATTTTCAAAAAGGAGATCATATCAGTAGCCAAGAGACGGAAACAACCTAAGTATCCATCAAAAGATGAATGGATAAAAAGATGTGTATATGTGTACAGTAGAATGTTATTTGGCCATGAGAAAGAAGGAAGTCCTTTTGTGACAACATGGATGGACCTTGAGGGCATCCTGCTAAGTGAAATAGGCCAGACAAAGACAAATACTGCATGGTATCACTTATATGTGGAATATTAAAGAAAAGAAGTCAAACTCATAGAAGCAGAGAGTAGAAAAGGGTTTGCCAGGGCTGGAAGTTGGGGGAAATAGGGAGAGGTTGGTAAAAGGGTACAAACTTTCAGCTATAAGATGAATAAGCTCTGAGGATCTAATGTATAACATGGTGACTGTAATTGAAACTTAACACTGTATTGTATAATTGAAATTTGCTAAGAGAGTAGAACTTAAATGTTCTCACCAAAAGAAAAAAAAGATAAATATGTGAGGTGATGAATGTGTTAATTAACTCAGTGGAGGGGAATCCTTTAACAATGTATATGTTTATCAAATAACCATGATGTACACTTTAAATATCTTAAAATTTTGTACATCAATTATACCTCAATAAATCTGAAATTTACAAAATGGTATTATTTGATTGGAAAAGCACAGTTACAATGTTGATAGGATAGAATATTTAAAATTGAGATTATATTGGAAAATCTGGAAATATTTCTTTTGGGGGTGATCTGAAATAATCTTATCTTTTAGGAGGCTTGTCTGAAATGACTGTGTTTATTGACACATACCTTTTTTTCTTCTCTAAAATAAATGCAGTTTCCCCCTTTTGTCCATGAAAACACACTTGAAATAGTGTTATGTGTGGGTTAAGGGCTTGTTCATTGATTTAGTCCGCAAGCTTTTAATGACATTCTACTAGGAGCTAAGTAGTGTAACATCATGTGAGCTGCTGAATTTCTCTAAATCTCAGTATTCTTATTGACAAAATGGTGATAATAACAACAACCTATTTTGTAGCATTATTGTCATAGGGTTTTAATGGAACAACGTATGTGAAACGTTAAACATAGTGCCAGTTATGGGAAGAGTATCCGATCAATGCTAGATGTTAGATCCTGTGGATGCTTAATGCCAAAGAGCAAGAACCTCACTTTCAATTCTGATAAATCTTTAGAGCTGTAAACCAGGTCAGGACAAAGTGTTAACATTTATGCTTTAAAAATTACGTGTGAGCTTCTCTTTTTCTATTTTTGTGCTCTTTCTCAGGCAGTTATGTTAGGTAACTGAAGAGAGTGTTTTGATTTTTTTTAAAAGCCTAAGAAGATAAACAATTACTTAAAAGCTTTAGGATTTAATTCTCGATCATAAAGAGTAATCTGAGACGTAAAAATCTGGAGAAAAAAAAAAAAGCAAGCATATGGTATCTTAAAGTACCGTATTCTAGTTTCTGATCAATATCAGAGCCCAGTAGGTGCTGCTGGGTTTTTAATCAGCAATAAGTTAAGCTTCCAAAAATTGCATCTCTTCTCAATAATTCAATAAGATGAGGTTATTTTTTCCAGGGATATGATTGGTCCTTTCAGCAGAGGGGTGGAGAGAGCAGGAAAGTCTAGAAAATGAACACCTTTCACTTGGTACTGTTTAAAATCAGCTGAAGTACAGAGTAACTAGTGTTGCTTTTGGAAGAGCCAATAGGAACGCATCAAAAGATCTGAGCAAACCCAGCCTGAGAAGCCCAGGGAAAGACATTTCTTTCTGGCAGGTCCTTAAATTGGTGAGTTTTCATAAGGGGACAAAATAACAAAGGAACAAACAAATTCTAAGATGATTGTTGGGAGAGTAGAACTTTTGAGTTGCATGGTCAGTTAAAGGGTATGAGGACGATTGCCAAGGCATGATTCGTGGGGCACAGAGACAGCAGTTCTTAATTCACTTTTAGGGGATTTCCCCCTCTTCTGTGTGATTGTAAGAGCTAGGAACAAGTTAGAGCTGAATTTTTCTGAAGACTCTGTCTGAATCTTTATTCCGAATGCCACTGTGTAATTGATGAAGCAATTTGGATTGTTTTTCCTCCTGTTGAGTTTAGGGTGAAATCTATCAACTAACGCTTATCAATTTATGCTTAAAAGGCGCGGCAGAAACAGAATTTCAGATCAGGAATAAAACAAGAAGGCACCCAGCAGTAGAACAACAACGAGAGACTGTAAAATTGCAGTTTGGGGTCTGTCTGAAGTTTTCTGCCAAAGTAACTGTGTGTCTAGCCGGTTTGTTCCTCCCAGTTATTTTTAAAACCTCTTGTGGTTGTGGTTTATTCCTTCTCAAAGGAATGAATAGACTCAGTTGTTGGAGATTCTGCATGTGCTTCATGTTGGCCATTATTATTACTGAGGGCAGCTTCATAACTAGGAATCACAGCTAACACGATCTGATCTGAAGGGATGGAGGAGCTCAGGCCCCGCAGGAAGTGAATTGGGGAAGGAAGTAGGGGATTTCGTACCCTTTTTTCAAAGTTATTTTATTTTGCCCAAGTTTCTTTTTACACTAGAATTTGAGGGCAGGGGGAGAAAATGAAATGTTGACCGTGAGGTTGCAGACAAAAAGATTTCCAACTTGAGAAGGGTCTGCAGGTCTGGTGTTCTGTCATGATGCTGGTAAGGATCCTGAGGTTCCAGCGTCATCTCTGGGGTTTGTATTTTCCCATATGTTCTTGAGACAATCTCTAGGCTAGGAGCTACCTTGATGATCTGCAGAGGTTTGGGCTATTTGATTGCTTCCTTAGGAAAGGATCCTAAGGTATATGGTACAGGAAGACCCCTGGGAGAGAAAGAGGAAAACGTGCCCCATGCCAGAGGTGGGCAGGATTGTCTGGTAGGTGAATTGGGATGAGTGCTTGGGCCCTTGTTCTAGGAGTGAAAAGTACTGAGGGCTGGGAATTAAAATAGTAATTATTATATGAAATTTGTACCTCATCTTTTTTGCCTAGGAAAAGTGGTTTGGAGAGAATGTGGGATAAATTAATTTGAAACTCATTACTCAGAAGTTCAGAAAAGGAGAGATGGTTGAAATAGGAGTTATGTGACAGTTGACACTTAAAAAAATTATCACGAACGATTTAAGAAAATATTAAAGCAGACCTCTCTTGCTTACAATCCTCCCAATGCCTTAGACTTATCAATTTGCTTCAAGCAGAATTGCTTAGGAATAAATTGACTTGAAGGTTATTATTCTCAACAGACAGTTCAGCCCCTTTTTACATGGCTTAGAAGCTACTGAGTTGAATTGATTGCTCTCTTGCTGGCTTGGTTCTGCAACCGAAAATATTCTTTCCTTCCTTTTTCCCTCCTTCACTTCCTCTCTCTTTTCTTCCAGCCCTCTCTTCCTCCCCATGTTTCCTGTCTTGTTAAGTGGGTCAAACAAACAGGACTTTTATTTTCTTCTCTAGCATCATATTGAACCACAGCAGAAAAACCTGAAGGGTGTTAATGCGCATTTCTGCTTGACAGCCAACCTCAGCTGAGCACTAGTTTTCTTTGTGGCTGTGAACATTTCCCCTGTAGAGAAGGCAAGGATCTCATTAGCACTAACTAACAGATAAAGGTTACCTCTCTGGAGACCTGGATTGCAGGTATTTGGGCTCCCAAATTATTTTTTTTTTCTTGATTGCCACTTTGTTAAAACAAAGTTTTTTATCCATTTTTATGTATAAAAGAAAAATACTATATCCTTATATATGCCAAAATCATCCAAATTGCTTCTCTAGGATACAGATCTGTTTTACAACATATTAGCATGAGTATTATTACTGCTTGATGTACATTAAGCCCCGGCAGCTGCTGACACAGTAAAACATCGTCATGAAGAGCACGGTTTATGCTTATTGAATTTACACAACACTCAGTGAGCAAGAAGAGACTCAAGAATGGGAGAGAAAATTCCCAAGGTGTCACCTGGGTCCCCGACCTGTGTCTGACACACATCCAAGGCAGTGGTGGTTGAGAGTCCGCTTGCCAAGGCAGGGGACACGGGTTCGTGCCCCGGTCCGGGAAGATCCCACATGCCGCGGAGCGGCTGGGCCTTTGAGCCATGGCCGCTGAGCCTGCGCGTCCGGAGCCTGTGCTCCGCAACGGGAGAGGCCACAGCTGTGAGAGGCCCGCGTACCAAAAAAAAAAAAAAGACTAGATGCTTCCGCTGCAGGGGGCACAGGTTCGATCGGTCGGGGAGCTAAGATCCAACGTGTCCAAAAAAAAAAAAAATAATAATAACATAGGATAGGCTTGGCTAATCTACACACTGAAGAATTGAATATTGACATATTTGGATCATGGAAGAAAAACGTTCAAGTGTTCACCAGTTATTAATTAGAGACTCAAGCATGACTCTGGGAACGTGCTTTTCATTTTAAAGCAGGGGGCGTGGTTATGAGATGGGTCGGGCTGGCTTCTTCAGTTCTGCGGTGACCTCCACGTATCTGCCTTTCAGACCCTGGCGCCGGAGGAGGGCATGGCTTTGAACCACACGGCTCCAGCCCTGGATGAGCGCCTGCCGTACTACCTTCGGGAGGGGGATCCCTTTGCTTCCAAACTTTCCTGGGAAGCGGATTTAGTGGCTGGCTTTTACTTAACAATCATTGGTAAGTTTCCTTGCCTTTTCAGTGCAAAGGCTGCATCTAGAAAATTCATGGGCTGTCATGTTAATTTTGCACAAAGATTCCAACACTTGAGTGGCTACTTTGAGATGGAGAGCGGGAGGAAGCAGGAAGAGGGGGAGGGGTCACAGAGTTCATACATGTTTCATAGAAACGACTCTATTATCTTTATTATTAGGGATAAATATTCCCTCGATAATCCAAAGAAGTTTTACAGCAAAATAATTTATCTTGAGACTATATTTCATTTTGGTTGCTTTGATAGTAGGCTTGTCTACCGAATGACAAAATTAATGATCATGAGCTCTTATTTAAATAGAATGCTTTTACTTTTTGAAAAATACTTTGATATAAGGATAAGAGTATAGTCTCAGAATGGACCTTAGAACTCATCTAGTTTAGCCTCTGCTTTTCACAATGGAGAGAACTCTGTCCCAATGCTGTAGTCAGGATGGATACACTGTGTTTACTTCACCTAAAGTCAGGTCCCACCATGACAGCATCACTAAGTGATTTTGATGAGAGTTGAAAAAAATGTATGAATAATAAACGGAAGTCAGTTCAGGGTCAAAAGTTTTCCTGCCTGATCCACAGCATGGTACATCTGCTTCCAGGCTCTGGTATCCAATGTGGTGGCCACGTGTGGCTCCTGAGTCCTTGAACTGTGACTTTTCCAAATTGAGATGTGCTGTAGTATAAATAGACACCAGATACTGAAAACATAGGACCAGAAAAAATCATGTAAAATAGCTCATTAATAATTTTAAACAATCGACTACATGTCTAACCTATAATATTTGGGGCCTATTAGGTTAAATAAATATATTCTCAAAATTAATTTAGTAATATTTTTACTTTGCTTAATATGACGACCAGAAAAAATTTAAATACATATGTGGCTCACATTTCTGGTTTCCATGACATTTCTATTGGACAGCACTAGTCTAGGTAATTAGATTCAACCACAGTACTTTCCTTACATTGAAAATCGCTGTTTTAAATTTGGGTAACCAGTGTGCAGGTGGGTTATGTCTTTAGGTGTGTCTGCCTTTAATCTTTTCAGTCGTTGGGTCAAGCTTTCTCTGTCTCCTTCTCTCTTTCTCTCCCCCTCCTTCTGTCTCTCCTTTCATCTACTTATTATGGGCTAAGACTTTCATTTAACCTCCTGAAATTAGCCAAACTCATTAGAAAAGTCTGGAGACCCCTCTATGGTCAGTGCTTGAGGCAAAAGGAATCCATGAAATTGAATCAGAAATTCCACTGCAAAGGGATTCCCTGGGTCCTTGGCTTTGTTATTGGTTATTATGGTACTGATTTAAATTCTTTTTCTTATCAGTGGACCTCCATGTCCTTTCAAACACAAATATATATCGAGTGCCTATTCTTTGCCACTGTTTAAGTTGCTGGGAATACAGAAGTGAACAAAATGGGCAAACTACTCTCTCTCCGCACAGGAACTACCTGGTAGTAAAATCCACATTGAATTTTTATTGAACATAAGTACTTTCAATGATCAGCAAAGACAGAAAAATAGACATCTTATAAATTGAATTTGTCGCAATCAATTGCAAGGAATGAATTACAAAGTAGCATCTGTAACCTGACAAGTTTCTCCAGATGACACAAAATAGGGAGGACGATTAAGGGGTGAAAATCTACAATCATATTCAAATGGGAGTGCTGAAGAGGCACCAGATAAAGGGGTCCGAAAAGAGTCCCGGAACAAAGGGAGCTCAGATCACTCAGGGAGTCGGGGGTGGGGCCAAATGTATGTTCCAGAGCAGTCGTTCACTCGGGATGAGGCCAGGGTCAGATGGTGGGGGCCGGACTCATCCTCGACCCAGTCTTGGGCTTGGTGCTATGTCTGGTTCCCTCCCTCCTGGGGATGTGCCCAGATTCCTTTAAAGGAACCAGAGTGGAATGACATTCTTGGTGAGCTTTGTTAAATACTAGAAGTCTTAGGGAAAACTGGAAGATGAAAAGATAATGTGAGTTTGGAATAGAGGAGAAATAAACTAGAGACCCATTTCCGTCCTCTACTCTTTTACTACAAATACGTAGTTCATTAACGGTCTATATACGAGATTTAACTTTTTTGTATTCATAGAAGAGTCAGGATTTTGGTCATCAAAAAATGTCCCCCTCACTTTAGCTTTTACCTTCTTAATCTTCTTTTCCTTTAACTCTCATTAAAAATAAGTTTGCATTCTCCTCATACTCCCCTACGGGAGATTGCCTGTGGGAATAATCAACAGGCAGCTCTCGCAGAGTTGACTATTTTTTGATAAGCTTTGGGCACTGGGTGAAGCCTTATGAATCATTAGTAAAGATAATTTAAGAACGGAAAAATAAGAAAATCAATATTCTCAAAAGAGAAGTAAAAAGACAAAGGATGTTTAAATGAGCTTTGTGTATCAAATGCATATGCATAGTTACTGTTTTTTTAATCTTTTTGGATACAAAGTAGAAGGCATGTGTTTATAATTTTTCTAGCCATGTTTTCACATTTTAGTTTCCCAGTGTGCCTTGTTAGCTGGTTTCCTTTAATGCGACATGGGTTTCATTTTAGTTGGTTTAGAATCTCCACCACCTCTTCTATTTTTTTCCTCCTCTGTCTTAAGAAAGCGAAAGAGGTTTTAATAGACCACGAGGCAGCACTGACTCCTGGGATTCAGAATTTCCTAAGACCACAAATGCAGTTAATGCCTGGTGGTTTCATACCATCAGCTGAAACACACATTTTTCCCCCTTGCCCCCCCAAATGAATTGTGGTGGAGAAGTAGAAGTTAAGATAGAAAAATCTGGGTTTCTCCTGTTAATACTCTCCTTATTCCTTACTACTAAAGGCAGCTGTACCAGATTCTCATTTATACACAGCTACACTATGAAGCAAGAATTCCTGAAGAAATCTACTCTACATGTTAAGCTATGGAAGTAGGTGTATTCTTTTCTTAACTAAAGTCAGTAGGGATTGGGTCTTTTTGGATTTAAACTGGGTTTGTAAGAACTTTTGAACAGTATCATTGTAATGTCAAAGCCAGTCATTAATAAAAGGATATATAAAAGTGGGAACACATTTATATCATTGTTGGTAGGTTGGTGGGTTGACGGCCACTTTCTCTCCCTTTGGTGGGAGTGGGAGAGTCCATGTTATCAATTGTCACCCACTTCCCCTTCATACTGAGTCCAGTAGCAGTGGCAGATATCCAGCGTCCATGTCCTCAGGATGCAAAAAAGTCCTGGATGTGTCTCCAGGAGATGACCCTGTCCTTGCAGGGGATCATGCCAGCCTAATCTGGCCTCTGCTTCTCCTGAATGCTGGTCCCCCCTCAGGAGTCCACAAGAAGAGTGAAAGCACCTCATTTGGTTTGGGTCACTTCGTCTTCAGAATTTATTGATAGCCAAGGGGTTAACCCTTCTCATCAGAGGGGAGGAGTTCTATAAAGCTAATACTCTAAAAATGGCTGAGGAGATGCTGCATCCTGGGGATTAGTCCAAGAACTGACCATGGGGATTCCCACACCCTACGGAGCTTCACTGGGAAATTAGTGGTTCTTTTTCTGGGTAAGTGCCGTTTGACAATCCCTGACTCCTATCCCTTTGGAGGTAAACCATCCCTCGCCTGTCACTCACAACTCATGCTTTTTATTTCATCTTCTTAACTTAGATTTTTATTTAGAATCCTCTCGCTACCCTCTAAATCTATGGTGTCCATTTTTTGAAATTGAGAAGTGTTTCATATCTGAGTGAGCTCTAAATCCTAGTTTTAACGATGGAAATTTATATTTTTCCTTGTAGGGATTCTGTCCACATTTGGAAATGGATATGTCCTTTATATGTCTTCTAGACGAAAAAAGAAGCTGAAACCTGCGGAAATAATGACTATCAATTTAGCGATCTGTGATCTGGGGATTTCAGGTAACGCAGCCATGCCATTTCTTCTTTGGGGGTTTGAATGCCCCACTGGCTCACAGATCACCCTACCCCCAGCTTCTTTTGCTCCTCCTTTCACAAATCATCTTTACAGTGTTTGTGGTAAGCCAGCAGACTGTTGTTTGGCTAAAGAGATCATCCATTTAACGTAGATGGAGTCCATTCCATGTGCCGGGCATGTTAGATGCTGAGGATACAATTTGAAATGATACATGAGACTTTGGATACCTCACAGTATGGTGGGCTAAATGATTCAGAAAACAGAAACTTACAGACAGGATTTAGATCACTGTTTTGAGCTCTGTTACATCCCTCACTCGCTCAGGGAAATCTGTTAAAATAAACATCAAGGGGGTAAGGTCTTAAGGGTAAATGATGGGTCAGAAAAGTGAGCCAAGGAAGGGGGAAGGGTTGCCCTTGTAATGACATATTTAAGTGTGGCTTAGGGACTGACTGCAAGTATAGGAAGCTTCTAGTTCAGTGGTTCTTGACCTTGGCTGCACAAAAAAGTCACTTGGGGAACTTAAACCAAAACCAAAACCAAAACAACTCACAGCTGGGTTTCATACCCAGAAATTTTGCTTTTAATTAGTTGAGAATGTTACCTGGGCATCAGGTTATTTAAAATTAGAATTTCCAGGTAAATTTATTGTGCAGCCGAAATTTTGAACCACTGGTTTATTTCTTGCTTCCTTGGTCTCTCTGGTAACCCAGCAAGGAGGGATTGGAATAAAATTTCTCTTTAACTGTAATTCATTTTTACAAATATGAACAATTTGGGGTCAGTCACTTCCCTTTACATTCACCTATAAAATTCCAGGGTTGCCTAGATACACTCAAATATGCCTCTGGATCCCCACTTTATGGTTTTAAGTTACTAGAATTAGGGAAATTGAGTTTGAATAGCACACATCAACTCGTCTTTCCACTGGAAATCTTTTAGCAGGGTCTCATCCAAAGCATCCCTTCTAAAACGTTTCCCGGTATTTGTTTCTCTCTTCATAAGTGGATTTTTCTGCCACTGCCAATCTCTGAAAACAAGTCTTGGTGATGTGTCTACTTACTGAGTCACTGTTTATTACACAGCAATGGATGTGCTGCCCTCTCACTGAGTTTGGATGATCTTGGTTATTTGGGAGGACTTTACTCAGTATGGACAGACTGAAATATCATGACCTCTTTTGGGAAATACACATGCACATTAAGAGGAAAGTGACATATCTGGCCCTTTCTATGAAAATAGTCGCGATACGCCTCAGAGAATCTGCGAGGCTGCAAAGTGACTGCCATTCTCATTTTGGGCACGCGATGGCGGTGTCGCAACATGAATGATGGCTCTCCGGTCAGCTCAACATGCTGCCCCCTAGTGGTTCTCTCACTGGTACTGAACGTAAAATGCTTGAATGAAACCTGCCATTTCAGTCGCGTCCTTCGCTTATAGCCGACTGATGCTTAAGGCTGAATTAGACTAGGCTTAAATAAAAATGTCCTTAATTGGTCAGATACATTGAAAATGCTTTCAACTAAGCAAGTCTGCTGCAGAATTGCATAAACCACCTCATTACTCTGTATATATCTTTAGAGTAATTCACCAGAAAGCATTTTCTGCCATGGGTTAGTTTTCTCTGATCAACTCAGATCATTTTTTGCAACCTTTGGCTATCTCTTAAATACATTTTTTCCTTCCAATAAACCTTAAAAATTTTTATGTCTTTTTAATTTTTTTTCTTGCTTCACTAGATTCCATTATAAGCACCTTGAAGAAACACATCCTAGAGACCAGATGTATTTCATCTATACAACTAATATTTATTGTTTAAACATCAATGGCTCTCAATCATGTATATGTATTAGAATCACCTGGGGAGCTAAAAACAATATATTGTGACGGCCCAGCCAGATAAATGAAGTCAGGTAAATTAAATCCAGATAAATTAAATCAGATTATCTGGGGGTTGGAGCTCTGGACACTGATATTTAAAATTAAGCAAAGCAAAGCAAAACAAAACAAAACAAAACTCCTCCAGTGATTTTAATGTGCAGCTGGGTTTAGAACCATTCTACCTAGTGGAGGAGGGAGAGACCTTTCCAAGAGGTTCATCAAAACCCTTTGGCATCCTGAAGGTTCTAGATGACATCCCATAGGTTCATCAAAAGCTCCACTCCAGAAAGAAGCCTAAAATACCTTTTGCTGATGGATCCCAGGCACAACAGACACAAATTTTGCTCCATCGGAGTCACGTTCAATTGTCTTTTTTGCTGTCTTTAGCACCCACCCAGCAGACACTCAATTCAAGCTCTGAGTTTGCTGTCTCCCCTGCCTAGAATATTTTCCCTCTAGATGTTTGCTCGAGTCCTCAACCACTGATTTAGCATCTACCTAAACATCACATGTGCAGAGAGGTCTTCCCTGATCTCCTGATATAAAAAAACCATTTCTGTCTATTTCCCTCCTCTGCTTCATTTTTCTTCCGGAACTCATCATGACCCATCAGTCCATCATATTGTATCTTATATTACAAATTATTTGTTTCTTTTGCCCCCTCTATCTACTAAAAATGAATCTGTTAATCTTAATTTCCACTTTGTCCTCTGGCACCCTGTTGCATCCTGGGCACTAAATAGTTCATTTGTTAAACAAAAAACTAATTCTTTTACGCTGGGTTTCCTCACTGACAGTGGGGCGTAGACCCAATAGGACTGGGAAGCTCTGATATGAGGTGCCCAGTCTAGCCAGCTGGAGTATGAGACCACCTGTGTAGACCACTAGAGGCGATGTATGTCTAACTTAGAAAAGCACCCGATAAATATGTGTTAATTGACTGAACTAACAGTGTACCAGGCACGGGGCACACCTGGGAGGGGTGGGGAAGGCTGGCACCTGCAGGCTGCCAATGTCAGTTACTTGGTTCTTCTAATGCATTAAGGTTGGGGAACCCTCTTTTGATAGATGGATCAGATACAGGTTTTGGAAAGCTTCCTCAGCCATTTCCTTCAAAGAGGGGGAAGATTGAATGCACAGCTGGATAAGGCGGGTGCAGGGCATGAATTAAAGTAGAAGATTACTTCCTAGAAAGTAAAAAAACAAACAAACAAAATGAACTGATGAAGCCAGAAATCTGGGTCTGGCTGTAAACAAACTGGACCTAACATTTCCGAAAAGAGCTCTCTGTTGTCTGCATGGGATAAAACTCAACAGCGAGTTGAGGTAGGCGAGGTAAATTTTAACTGAAGGGAACTTCCCTTGACAAGTTGCTTGGCACTCTAGTTGTAGGCAAACCGTTCACCATCATCTCTTGCTTCTGTCACCGCTGGGTGTTTGGCTGGATTGGCTGCCGCTGGTACGGATGGGCTGGATTTTTCTTCGGCTGTGGAAGTCTTATCACCATGACTGCTGTCAGCCTGGACCGGTACTTGAAAATCTGCTATTTATCGTATGGTAAGTAGGAAGGTTTCTATCCCCTGAGAGTCAAATCTAGGTGGATTGTCAAAGCGGTACAAGTTTTACCCAGAGGTAATAAGGATTATGAATAACCTCAGAGACCAGGAGTATTTCTACTTATAGCTTATCTTGTTCTAACCTATGTTTAAAGATTTGAACCTGTGTCAATGTAGGTTTCTTTAAATACTACTTTTATAGGAATGTCTGGTGTTTGGCTATGATGCTTTTAAAAGTATCATTTTTCTGTCTAAAGTGTGTAAGCTTTTACCGTGTTATGCCATACAAGCAAAAGAATGCATTTTATACATTGAAAGGATGTTAGGTCCAAGATGTTTAGCTGGTTCCCCAAGTAGTAAATATAATTATATGGAAAGATGTTTCTGGTTCTCCTGTAGCACTCAGGATCCCTATGACTGCAGAGAAGAGGAATTCTCCTCCAGGTTAGAGAGCCGTGCCTGCAGGAAAGGACACACATACAGAAATACCGCCCAACATTCTTTTTGTGGTCTTGGTAGGTAGAAAGATGAGTAGCTAAGAGAACTGGCCAGGGGTGAGCCAGCAATAAACAAATTTTCAGAGGCTAAAGATTTTTCTTTAACGATAAAACGATTCTACATGTGAAAAATAAACTTTTCGTACTTTGGCTTCTTGGGGCTCTGGAAATCTATTGAACCCAAAAGAGAAGGATTTGGGCCCCTTAAATTTAATACTGAGAACCAGGTGTAACCAGGGAATAAGATTGGTTCCCACCACAGCTGCTTTGTTTGTTAATCTCAATCAGCTTGATTGTTGTGACCATGGGGACAGACTGTGGCCTGGAGCCTGAAATGGGAAGGATCAAGTTGATGTGACACTCTCAATGGGGTGGAATTTCTCTTTATATTTTAAAAGTTTACAGTCCTAAATTTAAAAGAAAAAAACAAACATGCAGGGGGTCAGGGCAGGGGTAGGGTCATGGCCCAATGTCTGCACCATCCAGGCTCACCTTTAAAAAAAAATTGCACCTTTTTCTAAACAGCTTAAAACTTGCAACAGAAATAGTTTGAATCAAAAATTCCAATAAAATACAAAAAATACAATTATAACTATGCTGGATGATTTCAGATTCAATATTTTTCTATAAACTTATTTTTGGTCATATCAAAATAGATTTTAAATATAGATTTTACAGACAAAAAAGCAAAAGTTCCATTTCCTGAGAATATTTGAGGAATACTAAACCTCGATGTCTCTGCTTTTTAAATATTCTCCTGACTTTAGGCTTTGGGTCAGTTAAAGAGATGGTGCCGCCCATCCCCAGAATCATTGCAGGGCATAATTCCTATGGGAACTATATGTTTTTTCCAGCTTCTTCTAAGGTTGATTCTCGATAGTCTAGTTTCATCATTTGATTTGTCGCACAATTAAACACTCCACACAGTGTCTTGGAATGCTGGAATTAGAAGGTCGCTTGGGGACATGTAGACCTTTTTCCCATGTAATGTGATAAACTGTTTTAAGGCATCCCTGACAGACAGCCACTTGGCCTCTTCTTGAATAATTCCAGTGACCAGTGACGGGGAGCTTACTACTGCACAAGGCAGCCCATTCTCTGATTGGTCTGCTCTCATTGTTACAATGTTATTCCTTATATTAAGACAAAACTGCCTCCCAGTAACCTCCACCCATTGGTCCTAGTTCTGACTGCTGGAGCATCACAGAACCAATCTACTAATCTACTCCCTCCTGTACTTGACAGCCTTTCACCATAACCGAATGTAAGTATAAAACACCTCACTAAGTAACCCTAACCATAAATGCTTCTACGTATGCCTATGCACATTCCTATAAATATATATAATTATTTGTGCCAGTGTCTTCTCCATTATAATGGATAACTGAGAGCTGACAGATATCGTGGCTACGTAATTGTTACCCCTATCTGGTGGGTCCGTGAAATTTGCATTTTATGGCACCGTATGTTTGAAAAAATAGAGACAAAGGAAACAATCTGTTATATTTCTTCTTAGCGCCAAATAAGACAAACACAGGAGTAAATACTCGCGTTAGTGCAGTTCTTCATAGTTTGCAAAGGAGGCCTGGCATTGTTCGTTTCACCCGTACCAGAATCTGTAAGCAGTACATCTTTATTCTCCCCATCTTACTGATAAGAGCACTGACGTCTGGAAAGGTTACATGAAGAGGGTCAAATACCAGAAATGAGAAGCATTAGGCCCTTCTGATTTCCCAGACCTCACATGACACTAAACGGAGGCAGGCCTTGAGTCTGTGCTGAAGAAATCGTTTGGCTTTTATTAAGCATGTTTTGATATTTCTTCTCTGCTACCAAAAAGCAAGGCAGTTAGGGGTTACTTCTCTGGCCCTTTGGGTTTCAGGCAATAACCGGTATGGAGGTAATTTCCCCTGCAGGCTGAAGCCCTAGATCAGGCTGACCTGTCTTAGGTGGTTGTATTGAACTTTTGCAAATGATCACTAGCGCTTTACAGCTTTCCTTAAATGACTGCACTGTTTCTGCCTCTTGGAATTCTCTTTCGGCGAATGGAAACTAGTGCTGAAACACAGGGCTCATTTTTTTTCGTTGTTGTTTTACTGGAAATATTTTCACAGAATTTCTTTTGCAGAACATGATATGATCTACCTAGATTCCCCACTTCTCCATCTATGGCTGTGTGAATGTGACTGTCGTATTAATAACATTGGAAGATTCAAAATCTCCTCTCACCCAGTGGGGTCACCCCATAACGTCACCCCACACAGTCATGACCGTGGCACCAACACCCACTCCACGAGTGCTTAGGTGAGAGGCACACGAGCTTTTAGGAAGAAGCGTATTTTAAAGATACGGGCAGTGTCTTATCACTTCTCCCGCAAAGGACTCTCTACCTTAGATAAACCCTTAACACATGCTTTTTTGGGCTCCATCTTTATATGCTACCAGTTGGCCTCTTGTCCTGGATAGGATCTCAAAGATCATTCTGGATGTTTTCCCAAGCTCTTCCACTGTCTTCAGCACCCTCTCATCTTTTTTACTGCCACCTCTCCCCAGCTTTTGTCACTTCCCCCTCCCAAGGCTCCCAGATGCCTAGAGGAAACCTTCCCTGTGAAATCACTTCCAGTTTTACTCTCTTGGAAAAAGGGCCCAAGCTCTGGAACTCTCTTCCCTCCACCCTACTCTCCCTCCGGCTTTGGTTACTGTGACCACTTCTCCCAGAATCCAATGGATTAACTCTTTGGATGTGGAATTTGACCTATGGAAGGGAGGTATCTGGGCGGAGGGTAGATTACATCCTGCTAATGCTATTCTTCCACCTCCAGGGGTTTGGCTGAAAAGAAAGCACGCCTTCATCTGCCTGGCCGTCATCTGGGCCTATGCTTCCTTTTGGACCACCATGCCCTTGGTAGGTCTGGGGGACTACGCACCTGAGCCCTTCGGAACCTCGTGCACCCTGGACTGGTGGTTGGCCCAGGCCTCAGTAGGGGGCCAGATTTTCATCCTGAACATCCTCTTCTTCTGCCTCTTGCTCCCAACGGCTGTGATCGTGTTCTCCTATGTGAAGATCATTGCTAAGGTTAAGTCTTCCTCCAAAGAAGTAGCTCATTTTGACAGTCGGATCCCTAGTAGCCATGTGCTGGAAATGAAACTGACCAAGGTAACTGCAGTCGTAATTTACAAACGTGTTTTCTAATCAGTTAAAACTTCATAGGGCAAAGAGGACAGAGAATGTTGGAGACTGGGAGAGCTTCGAATGTCCACTGTTTATGTCCTTATGAACTTTGTTATTATTTATTGAAACCTTTGTAGTATCTCTTCCCTCTGTCTCTATCTCCCTCTCATTTACACACACACACACACACACACACACACCCACGTCTAATAGCTACCGAATTTATACAATGGATCTACTGGGGGCTTTTTCTTTCTATTGAATAGGATATCATTGCTTCTTAAAATTATTTCACTAATAAGAGTAATAACTTTTATGATTCATAGAATGCCTCACAGTATTTACTGTCCTGTATGGACTTTGATGGACACGATTAGGGACATTAACAGAGTAAGAGCTTACCATGTCTGCTTTCCTATGGGAAACCCATCTTCACACAAGAGCAATTTCTGCAGCTTTGAGGCCCTTGGCAAATGCTAGCCTCAGAGTTGGCAGCTCTTCAGATATTGTGGTGTAAGGAAAAGAGCAGACAGTTTGAAAACGGATGAGAGTTTGGATTCTATCACCGACACTTGCCAGGTTTGTGACCCAGAGATAGATACTTAACTTCTTTGAGTCTCTACTTCCTCACTTGTGTAACAGGGATAGTAACATCTATCTCTCTGGGTTGTGGTGGGGATTCAATGAGATAAACATGTTATCCTGTCATCGGCTGCGTGGATGATGTTAAAGAAATCATAATTCCTCATGTCTCTTCTAACTTTTAGGAGTTCTGGTAAGGGCTAAGGCAGTGGTCTTTACACTTCCATCACGTTTCACCCTTATATCGAGGAAATAGTTTTCAGCACATACTCTCAAACTGAGTTTTTAATATTAGCACCCCCTAGTTTCCATCTTATATTTGAAAGATAAAAATAAATGTAGATTGAAGTTCTAATCATTCTTCTGGTGTCCCAATCCATCATGTTGACTGATATCCACCTTCCAGTGTCCTCACAGCCTACCCTGGAGACCACTGGCCTTAGGGACCAGGAGTAACACAGTTCCCTCCAGAACACAGGTGGCTACCTACTAAGTCAGGACTTTTGTCCTAGTAATAGTTTTCTCTCCAAATTTCAGATTTTTAGATGTTGTGCAAGGACCTCTTGGTTGCACAGTGAGAGCTAGAGGTTCTGGTTCCTTTACTCCCTAAACTCCACATTTGAGTAGAAGAAAGTTTGAAGTTTTCATCACTCTAAATCTATACTGATCACCTAAAAATGGAGCCGTTCTACCTGGACAAACATGCAGCCTCAGGACTCATGATCAACTTCTAGCTTACAATTGGCTGTTATGTAGGAAAAATATTTCCATAAATTCAGGATCATGAATTAAGTTCTTCATTTCTAGCTCTTCCTTTAGCTCCTGTCTGTGATGTAAAAAACAAACTAATGCCAATAAATCAATCCAAGTTAAATGTGGATTCCGTTTCATCCACATCCTATTTGGTACCAAGTACTGTTCTAGGAACTAGGCGAATGCAACCGAGCTAAAAGTGTTTGTGTTCAATAATTCGTGGAAGTATGCCCAGGGAACCACGTGATGACTGTCACATGGGTATGTGATCTCAGTTGCAGTCCTGTAGTGTGGCATGCCATGAAGCTGCCGAGATGTCATATGATGTCCTCTCCTCTTCGCATCCCCCAAGGTTGCTGGCCTTGAGACGCTTGGCTGGTCTTAAGCAGTGAGTCTGGGTCCTCCTACCCATGAGGCCCTTCTCCCGTTTCTCTGAGGCAATCATTCATCATCCTCTCTCCTGTTAGTTGGACTCCTTAACTCAGCCCACTCACAGCCAGCTTTTACCAATACCCTAGCATCTGGTTCTTCGTGTATTCTTGAGGGTGGGCAGCTCGTTAGTCAGAGCTTCTAAAGCTCATTATACACACACGGGGAAGCTCAGCATATACCATTTAATTTGATGCGTAGTTTTTTTGTTTGTTTTTATTAAAAAATTTTATTTTATATTGGGGTATAGTTGATTAACAATGTTGTGTTTGTTTCAGGTATAGAGCAAAGTGATTCAGTTATACATATAAATGTATCGATTCTTTTTCAAATTCTTTTCCCATTTAGATTATAGAGTTTTGAGCAGAGTCCCCTGTGCTATACAGTAAGTCCTTGTTGGTTACCTATTTTAAATATAGTGGTGTGTATATGTCAATCCCAAACTTGATGTGTTATCATTCTCCTTGCCCTGCACTGTGTAGACCAAATAGTCAGGCTCACCCAGACCAGATTAACCAAAGCAATGTTAAAGGAAAAGTGTAGGCATATATGTGTATGATTTTACTTTATATATGTCTTCTAACATGTATTCTCATTATATTATACATGATATCTATATTATATGTTACATCTTGACTTCATTTGTATATATAAAACCTATATTAAAATAACCTAAACATACAATGCTTCTGATTATTGACATTTGTGCAAAATATTTAAGTCAAAATTCAACCTACGTTGAAAAATAGAGCTTTCTATTGTGGCACATTCTGTTCTAAATTTAAACTATTTTCAATTACTAGTTAATTTTGATTTTTTTTGTAGTGAGTAAAAATAAGTAGAAAAACCTTCAGGGGCCTTTTCGTAGTCTTAGAAGCCTTGTCCTCCATTCAACTACCTCTCAGGATTGGCACTTTGCTTGTTCATCTGATGCTTCTGATCTTCAGAATGTCCTGGTCTAAAAGCTTATTAAAGGCCACCTCACTGGATTATGGGATCAAAATAATTCATTTCTTTGTGTACTCTAATTATTTCTAGGTAGGTTATTATCTGGGCCTGCATTTTGCCAGTCTGACCTCGTCAACTTAAAAATTGATGTTCCAGCTATAAACCTTTTTCCACATTGTAATTTCCTTCTAATTAATTAAAAAATGGTTTTGCTAGACGTTTATAGCAGGCTGAAATTTCACAGACTACAGAAATTGCAGAGGTGTGCAAAACCAAAAAAACCCTACAGAAACCAAAAAAAAGAAAAGAAAAAGGAAAGAAAAAACCCTTTGTATTCCTATGACTCAGTATAATCTCATTTTTATGCCGGCATTTGACCTTGTAAAACAAACAACATTACACAATCAGGGTAAATTCAGTTGAATTGGGTTTTCCTCCTCTTCCTAGGCTCATGTGTAAGTTCAGGGAGGTCTTTATAACTCCCCGGGACCAGTGGGTGGGGGCATCTGGTTTGGTTGTTGTCATTTATTGACCCTAGTATTGCTGAGATAGTTAAGGTTTCCTCTGGCCTCAGGCATCCATTGTCATGGGTCACTTTGCATCTTTCTTGTTTCAGCTGTAAGGCCTCTTTAGGCTCACTGGAAATTCCAGGTACTTCCCCATCCTTCTTTGGCAACCCGTTGGGTGGATGTCAAGACCTTGGCTGGCACCCTGGGAAGTGAGGCACAAGCTGTCTGCTTGTGCAAAGGCATTGAGAGTCTATTGTTCCCCCAACCCCTTCCCTGGCCCCCTGTGCTCGGTTCAGTGGAGTATTTTCAGGACAGCTTCTCAAGGTCAGTTACCAGCTCCTCTGATGTCCTCCCTTGCCTTTGGGCTGTAGGCCCTTGACGCACTGTGGGCTCTTGTATCCACCTACATCCCTTTAACTTGTCCACACTGTACACTTAATGCCTCTAGTCTTGCACATCTCTGGCTGCAGATACTCAAAAATCATTTTTGTCACACTCGAAACCCTCTATTTCAACTATTTCCTCTCTTGTAAGTTTCGAATTTCTATTTTGAAACTCAGAAGTTGAGAAATGAATGTTTTACTTCTTTGACATTTCTGCTTGTGAAAACCTTCATACCAATGCAGTGGACACTCTTGCCGCTGCTATGATGAGGGGGAATGTGGATGGAGTAACAGGAAGGAAATACCAGAAGTTTCAATTAATTTTTCCGTATATGACTATGCTGTGCATCTTGGTACTTCATATTTATTCATTCAGCACACATAGCTCACCTACAATGTCCCAGGCCTATAGTTAGTATCCAGATCCTGTGGACACCTGGGTTGCTCTTTATTTCTCTTATTTCTACCAGGAAACCTTCCCAATCCCTCCTGCTTTGTTGAAGTCCCTCTGCTATGGGCCACCAGAGTACTTGGCATATCCACTTTCCTGAATGACACATCTTTGTGGCTCTTTTTGCAAGATAGTAGCTGGATGAGGGCAAGTGCTGTTTGCTCTGGCTCCCCAGGGCCCGACACCTGCTAGATGCTTAATCAGGATTGCTAGGATGACACATAATTGAATATACTATGTTAACCTAATCACCTTGATCAGTGTTAACTGGTCCCTTGACCCCCAGCTTGAGGCCCTCTGTCCGTTTTATACCTGCAGAGGCATTTTGTTTTGCTTTGTTCTTTCACATTGACTGTGAAGCCTTTTTAAAACTCATAAACGTAAACCTCTGCTTCCTTCAAAAGACTCCCCTCCAGCATTGCTCATTGAATGTTATTTATCATTGGGGGTTCAGAGTCAGAGAACCCCCATGGGGACTCTGAGAGCAGTTAGTGGGAAAGCAGAACTGTATTCTTGAACCAATTTATTAATTGCTTTCCTCTGGTTCTTCTTACTTGTTCTTAGCTTCAGTGTTACTTTCCAGAGAAGCGTTCTCCAAATTGAATTCAAGTCCTCCTATTAAAATGTTTCATTGCCGCTTTTACATTTGCCTTGTAGAACTTGTCACAATTTTTAGTTAATTTACAATTACCTACTTACTTCTGTGATTATTTGTTCCATGTCTGTCTTTACCACTAGTCAATAAGGCCCACAGCGGTAACAACCATATCTTTCTGTTCACTTTGTGTCCCCAGAACCTAATACAATGCCTCAAACATATACAGATATATTTGAAGGAAAGAATTTCAAAGTTCAGTGCCAGTTTTGCCACTTCCCCACTGAGAAATCTCGCAAAGCTGACATTTGTTATTTGTTTTGGCTGACAGTGGC